AGTAACAAGTGCCTTACTAGTAGTAACAAGAAGCTACTAGGAACAAGTGCATCGCTAGTAGTAACACTTCACGACCCACCAGGCCGTTTGGCCACCGTTCCTCGTACGACTGGGGCTAGACCCCGTAGTGAGGCTTCGAAAGGCCATGGCATGGTCACAGCGCTTTGAGGATGCGTTCAACGAGTGCCTTGCAATAGAGAGACCGCCGGATCCGCTCCCACCCGTTTCTGTCCCAAGTAGCGTCCTTGTTACTAGTAAGGCACTTGTTACTCGAAGCGATGCACTTGTTCCTAGTAGCGTCCTTGTTACTTGTCACTTGTTTCAATGTCATTCATTCCAAGAAGAGCGGATCGTCTATCAGATCGCTCCTGTTTTTCCGATCGTTCTTGAGGCGGCTTTGTGATGATGCACCACTGCAGGCGGCTTGAGAGTTTTGAGAGTTTGCTTTGCTGAACAATTTAGAAGCATTATATAGTAGGGCACATGTATGCTTTTTTCAAAAGTCCCTTAAAGTGCTCTTGATCACGCTTCAGGAGATCCTATGGAAAGAACGAGAGTCAGGTTGAGCGACAATATCCTCTAGCATTCCCTTCCTGTTTGAACCGAGCCTTCGTGTTTAGCTCGGACTGTTGCGTTGCTGGGAAAAGAACTTGAAGGCTTTACCCTTTACCCACCAGCTCAAGAGCATAGCCGAAGCCAAAATGAAGCTACAGCACAGAATGTCAAACAAGGAGCCTTCAACATATTCACTTCATGGTTCAGTTTGTGGAAACCTTCAGCGCATGTTGTCAAAACATCTCAAGTGTCCGCATCCCACACTTCACAATGGATGAGAACAATCATTACCAGAGATTGGCCGCGGGTCAGTTCTGCCACAACCTCATTCTACTCCCGAGCGTGTTCATATTTTCATGTTTGTTAGGGTGCTAGGATTCATGCATGCTACAGACCGACAGGAAAGATCCTGCCAAACAACGCAATCACATAGTAGCTGCTAACATACTGCCAGCTACTAGCAGCACCAGCAAGCTAGCAGTTCGCATGGATATTTCCCGAGCCCTCTCAGCTGGCGCTTTTCGGGATGCGCCTTCGCTGCATCAGGTCTGCTCTGACTGCTCTGGTTGGCTCAGTCTTTGAGTCCAGTTAACTCTCTTGAAGAGTTGGTCAGAGCGAGGCCCGCCCATGGCACAACTGAGCAACAGTACTAAACACCGGGTACTGATGGTACTGAGCAACAATCTTTCTTCCGATCTTCGAAAGGCATCTAGAAGCTACCTGTTGTAGGCAAAACATATCATCAGGATTTCTACATGAAAGCCAGCAATGGTTGTTGCCCTCATGGAAACGGAATCCATAAGAAGCCAGTCCATAAAAAGGACATCAGTTCACCAAATAGATCTCCGGCCCGGAATCCTTAAGTCATCTTCTGCCCCACATACTAAAAGCGACGATATCGACAAGCCGAACTCATCTGAACTCACAACCCACAAAAGGAAATCATGAATATCTAGGGAGTGTCATGTGTGTGCGAATCTAAGCTAATTCTGTATGCCAATACGAGGCGCCTCCCTTCTTCGAGGCCTTCCTACTCAACCAGTGCATTGCAGCTTGCATGATCCTCTACCAAATCGATTTCGGGGAACGTACCATGTGCCAAAGCTCCCAGTGGTGTGATGCCTGATGCGTTTCAAGCTCCTAAAACCCCCTTTCAAAGATTTGATTTTAAACAATGCCTTTTCTACAGTAAGCTTGCTCATTTCTCAACCTGAATCCTTATTATCCTGATTTCCACCAATCATTCAATACCCACAGTGCTTCACTGTGAGGCTTCGGAGTCTCTGAGTCTCTTCCTCCGTTGTGCCGTGTTGTGGACGGCTCCATCGTCCGCCATCCGTCGAGGTCGACCTAGAGGGATGAATGCTCAGCTGCTCAGGTGACAGGTGGGAGGGACCAAGTGACCAAGCAAGGGGGGGCTTTTAGGTTGGAGGCCATCGCTCTTCAGGTTGGGAGCTTCTCTACAAGCATTCAGAATCCATCTGAGCAAGCCGTCCTCCTTTCTTCCAGGTTGAGGGCCCAGCGCGTGCATCAAACACTGAACATGCGGTTGGTTCCTCGAGAGGCAACATGAAACACATGTGGACCACACCGCTACCTTCTTTCGATAAAGCATCAGTGACATGCCAAATCCATTGGACTCTGCTCCTGACCAAACCAACAAGATCTTTCAACAGAACGGGTATCTGCTGGGTTTGAAGTGCTCGTAGCTTGCTGAACCAACACGCATTTGCAGATCTGAACCATATCCAACTTGAAATACGCTTCAACACGGGCAAAACGGACAATAGAATAGTAGGACCACAGGTTACCACGGGAATAACGGACCACGATGCGAACTGAAGAGTAGATCCCCTGAGACAGGCACCGAATTGCGTCACTGGCTTCGGGTTCTCATCCCGCGGTGCCTTGGGGCAAGGAGATTTAAGCAGTCTAGCTGCTACAGCCCAGGCCATATTCGCTGGCTACTTTGTTGGAATTTGATCATAAGCAAGGACTCTAATTATTAGTACCTATTAAATTCTGGCATGTGAACACTTTGCCAAGTACTTCACACGATTCATTTACCGAACGAAGCAATCGTTGACCCACTTGCTGCCCTCCCAACACTCGCCTCCCTCCATGCTACGATGGAGTGATTGTGCTGCACCTCACCTGCCACTTTGTTTTGCTCACTTTCTCACAATTGAACATGCAGAAATCAATTTGGAGGCTTACGAGCCTTTAAGCTACGTAGGTAGCAGGTGTCCACAGCTGCTACACACACCAAAATTATATAGTGATCTTGTGTTTAACTTTAACTTAATGAGTCTGGAGGCCATCGCTAGTTTGTTGGAGACCATCGCTAGTAGGTTTGGTTGGAGGCCATCGCTAGTAGGTTGGAGGCCAGCGCTAGTAGGTTGGAGGCCATCGCTAGTGGGTTGGAGGCCATCGCTAATAGGTTGGAGGCGATTGCTAGTAGGTTGGAGGCCATCGCTTCTAGGTTGGAGGCCATCGCTGGTAGGTTGGAGGCCATCGCTAGTAGGTTGGAGGCCATCGCTAGTAGGTTGGAGGCCATCGCTACACCATTCCCACTCCCCGTCACTGGACTCTGTGGTTGATTGAACATCAACTCCGAACTGCATGGTCTCTGGAGCTCTGACGAAAGCAACTTTCTTTTATGAACAGCAGGTGCCATTCACTTCCGGTAGCTTACTCCCTTACTCAATTTAGTAGGCTCCTACTATAGTAGCGTCCTTGTTCCTAGTAGCTTCTTGTTACTACTAGTAGCTTCTTGCTCCGTTCGTAATGATGCCCTTTGCTCCGTTCGTAGCGCCCTTGTTACTCAATTAAGGAGGAGGTGCTTTAACAAAAAGAAGAAAAACGCAGGGCCGGACGCACCTTCCTCATCCTCGATGGGTCGCACCTGGCGCGTGTCGGATGAGGGGTTTATTTCCACACGTCCCTGGCGAGTCCTTTCTTTCTTGGATCAAGGTGACCTGCAAAAACCTAACTTTGTCATCTGTCAATCAAATATCCACTCATGTTCTTGTCTCGGTTCAGTTTCTACTTTGAAAGCTTCGTTTCCCTTGCTTCACGGCCTGCCGGGCAACCAGACTGCGCATTGACACCTCCGTTTCGCTCACGAAAAAAACACGACGGACATCCCACCATGAACGAGTCAATATTGGGAAGATGAAGAAAACGGCAATTCTTATAGCAAACAAGTTATGAATGCTCACATGCTCCGTTTTTGCGCGAGGCTTGCGGCTTCTCCGTTTTGGGAAACAGTGCTGTGAGGCGAAGGCAGTCCAAACATGGGAGATCGGAGAAACAAACTTGTAAAGAAAGGAAAGACAAGGACGCTACCAACGGAGCAAGGTTCGCGAACCCAGCGGGGCGAAGCTGCTTGGCATCGCGACGAGTCCGGAGCGAGAAAGGACGCGAAGCGAGCGGGGCGTTTCTACTGGCCCTTCCGAACGTAGCGATGCCGGGTCTTTTCCGAACGGAGGATGGACATGGACATGGCCAACGACGAAAAAGACCGAAGACGGGCCGACGACCAAAGGACCCAAGCTGCTCGTTGTGCGCCTTGTGATCGCTGGCAGTCCAATGTTCGACGGCCATGGAACAGGCAAAGCTGTGAAGCATAAAGGCTGCAAGCCCACACCTGAAGGGAGGGTGCAGGTGTGCAAGTCTAGCATCACAAGAGCTTCCGGTCGTTCGTTCAGCACCACCCAAAGCACAACCTGAAATTCCTTTGGAGTGAAACAACTGGAGCCATTTCCGTGACCCAAACTCGACTGCTTGGGCCCAAGCAGGAGTGGGGCAGCCATGCCCAGAGCGCACCACCTGGCGACGTAACTCATGATTTCCAAGCCAAGCTGCTGTCCAGTCCAGATTTCAGGGACGTGGTCACGCCTGTTGCTTCAAAGGGTATTGTACATGTGGTTTATCTAATGACCGTCATGACGGATGAGTCATCTATGGCGAAAGACACGTCAGCACCAACACCAAATAGAAACATATATATATAACAATCTGAATTTCATGTAACCATGACATACAGAAGCTTTGTGTCGTCTCCGCTACGTCAAATGCATGTCAGAAGCACACGCTCGCAAACTGCTCTGCAGTTGCTGACCTTAAAAGCTGTGAAGGTAGCATCGTCAAGAAGAGCACAAGCACCCAAACCATTCATATCATCTGGGTGTGCATTAAAATAGGGACATCTCCCAAAGACCCCCTGTGAGAAGGGAAATAGACCAGTCTACCCATTGGTTGGGTTCATGCTAGATTAAACCATTTGGAGATTCAAACAATCTCGAATCTCTACCACCCCAACCTTTGGAGGATTTCTGACCGCACGGGTGATGGGATCTTGTGGAGGGGATGTCACTGCACTGCATTTTAAAGCCACAAAAAAGGTTGCCCCACCTCCCTGAACATCTTGAGTTTCATGGGTTTCTGACTGCCAAACATGTGCTCGAAACCGGACAAGCACAAAAGCCACTCTGTGCCATTGATGTTTTCAAACCCTGCCAAAAAGGAAGAATGATAGGCTCACCAAATACCCGCACAAAGTTCACATCTTTTCAATATCCGACCGATTAGAGATGCCACATGCACAATACATCCTTAGAGCTTGAGGATTCCTCACCTTTGTGAAATGCCAAGCTACACAGGACCCCAAAGTCCACGTTGAAAGGCGCCAGAACAGCCGCAGCGGACCTGTTCGAACAGCTGACAGGATTCATTCAACTTCCAGCCAGTTCAGCAACAGCAAAGAGTTGGAGGGCATCACTAGTGGGTTGGAGGCCATCGCTAGTAGGTTGGAGGCCATCGCTAGTGGGTTG